TTTCCTTTTTTTTTTTTTTTTTTTTTTTTATATATATTTCAAAACCTTGTGAGAAAAAATGAGATCTGCAAAATACTTAACATGCCTCTTTTTAAATTCCTTGGGGTGTCTACTTTCCAAAAAGGGGTAATTTGGGGAGGTGTTTGGAGCTATCCTGGCATTTCAGAGCCTCCAAAACTGTGATAGGTAGTGAGGAAGTGAAATGAGGAAGTTACGCACCTTCAGGCTTTCAAAGTGGTAATTGGATTTCAGGCTCCTGTATGTGGCTAGGAACCCAAAAAGTCACACATGTATCCCCATGTATTATGGGGTGTAATTCCACATATACCCATGGTTTCTGTGAGAAATGTATCATTTAAATGACAACTTTGTGTAAAAAATAAAAAATGTTTTTGTCATTTTCCAAAAACGTTTGGAAAAAAAAATATCTTCCATGGACTCAATATGCCTCTCAGCAGATAGCTGAGGGTGTCTACTTTCCAAAAAGTGGTAATTTGGGGGTGTTTTTACTGTCCTGGTATTTTAGCACCTCAAGAAATGTGATGGGCAGTCAGAAAGTAAAAGCTGTGTAAATTCCATTATCTATACTATAGTTTGTAGATGCTATAACGTTTACACAAAGCAATCAATATGCACTTATTTGGATTTTTTTTTAAACCAAAAACATGTAGCAGAATACATTTTGGCCTACATTTATGACTAAATTTGAGTTTTTTGGATATTTTTTAACAGAAATGAGAAAATATTGTTTTTTCAAAACTTTTTTTTTTTTTTTTATAGTGCGAAAAATAAAAGCACACGGGTGATCAAATACCACTGAAAGAAAGCTCTGTGTGAAAAAAAGGATGTAAATTTCGTTTGGGTACAGCATTGCATGACTGTGCAATTATCAGTTGAAATAGTTCAGCGCCGAATAGCAAAAAGAGACCTGCTCATTAACCACTTCAAGTCCGAACACTTTTACCCCCCTTTCTGTCCAGGCCAATTTTCAGCTTTCGGCGCTATAACACTGAATGACAATTGCGCGGTCATGCAACACTGTACCCATATGAATTTTTTAGCATTCTTTTGAGACGGATAAAGCTTTATTTTGGTGGTATTTATTCACCACTGGGATTTTTATGTTTTTTTGCTATGTAAATGAAAGAGTCCTAACATTTTGAAAAGTGTTTTTCTTAGGAAATTTTGCAAATAAATAATATTTCATCATAAATCTTGGCCAAAATTTATTCCGTTATCCTTTTTGCAAAAAAAAAAAAAAACCCAAAAAAATAAACTTTTTTTTTTTTTACATTATTTTTTTTTTTTTTACAGACTGTCACGCTAGCAGTACAGTGTCACCAGTGGATGCATTCTTGCAGCCATTGAGAACTACTCTGTGAGCTGTGATTGGTCACAGCTTGTCAACATGGTACAAGGCTGTTGTGAATAGCCTTGTACCATGTGACCTCTATGATCATTCACAGATTTCACACATGATGTCAGAAGTGATATCTTGCTTACTACTCTGCATGTGATCACTGATTGGCCAATCAGTGATCACATGATCGGAACCTCGTACAGAGGTCACATACGACAATCGGTGTTCCACTGTGTCCCAGGGAGCGTGCACAAGCAGGGGGCGGGGAGGCCGTTTATAAACGGCCACCCGCCCCTGCACTGCCTCCGTTCGTTTTATATACAACGGCCGGACGAGAGGTGGTTAAGGGGGATAAATCCTCTGGATGACAAGTGGTTAATATACTAGTAATGGCAGTGATCAGCTGGCCTGTGACAGTGCAGTGGGCAACCTGACACTAACCTATACTGAGTGGGAACTTATAACTGACAGATATCACCAGAGACACTAATACAGTGATCAGTGCTAATAATATGTAATAAAAGGGTTAACTGTGTGCCTAGCAAGTGTTAACTGTGCTGTTTTTACTAGAGGATGTTTTTATTCACGGCTTTTCAGTGAGACAAGAGTCTGCACATCCCCGTTGTCAGTAGAGAGATCTGTAAAATAAAATAAAAGTGAAGCGAGCGCTCAAAAAAATCAGCTGCTGAAGCACTCCAAGGAGTCACTGGACCTCATAACAGAAATATTAAATATATAGTGCAGCACTGTAATATAATTAAATAGATAAAAGTGAAATAGTTCATAAAGTCCTTTCACAATAAAATAATCAAACATGTGAAGGCCTCCTCCTCATTAGGTGACTGGAATCAAACAGAAAAAATGCGCACTCACCGACCACACATTTTAAATGCGCATGTGTGTAATTTTATCCAGATGACCAGCCAGGCATGCAGATCCAGAGAACACATAGATCATCCCTCTTAAACACTGACATCAGCCTTGGGTGCAGTAATAAACCTCCAGGTCCAGAGAGCCCTCTTGCCCCAAATGATAGGTAGACAGGGGTCCCCCTCCTGGTTCCAGGTACCCCAGAAGTGGTAGATGTAGATCTGAAACCCTCCAGCAAGGGGTCAAAGAAAAGAGGGAACGCCAATAGTGTAGTAGGTACAAAACTTTATTGGATCAACAGTAGTTAAGCCAGGGTCACATGTGCATACAAATACCATCGGCCATCAAGCGGACTGGTAAGTGTGAAAAATAGGTAAAACATGTACTAACCCGGCAGAGGTAAAGATCAGAGACCACTGGACCTCCTCGTGGTCTCAGTGGTCGGGAAGTCACACTTGCTACTGGCTCCTCCTGAGGCCTTTCGTGCTACGGCACTTCATCAGAGGGTGGACGCCATTAGCAGTGTGACAGTCAAACTTCCCATTTAAATGCGGTTCGCGCATGCGCGAAAATCACGCTCTATCATCCGAAATCCGAAAAGCGGAACTGCGCATGCGCGGATAGCCGCCATTTTGCCGTGGATCGCGGCTGTGCAGAAATGAACTGCGCATGCGCCGCCCGATCGCCGCCATATTGCCATGGATCATAGACAGTAAGCTGTGAAAGTCAACAGCTACTGTCAGAAGAATGTAAATAAAGCACATAATCAAGTGCTGGTTCCCCATGGCTGGTGATAGAAGGGTGAGTGGTCCGATCAGAGAGACATAAGTCATCCGATCTAAATATACCCTCCACCCCAGGCAAGTGGCCCAGAATATAAGCCACTATTCAGATATATGACAGGCAATATTAGAGAACATATAAATAAGGTGCTGCAAAAGCCAAAAACCCCTTATTATACTACTTATATCCATGGCATAGGAGCTAGAATCGGTTACCCATAAATAAAAACCTTAAGAACATATGTCCAAAAACATCCATAATTAAAAATCCCAAAAAACGCACACAGGCATTTTAAAAGGATACACACGTATTGAAATATGGCATTTTCTATTGACATCATGAATTACCCTTCGTCATGGATCATAATACCATAATTATAATGAGATTATATGATAATCACAGAGAGAGGGGAATTAATCCGTGAAAGCGGAAAATCTCAAACCGGATGGGATTCCCTATTCCACCATCCTAGAGGCTAATATAAAATAGGATATTGAATTCACAAACCATGTGGTCCTATTCAAAAGGTATCTCATTTCCCGATTTAATACCCCTAATACTCTCTAGGTCATCCATGACTAAAGGTGCCTATTTAGGTGCTGCATATCAAAAGGTTCAGAAAATGCACTCAGTAAACATTATAACAAACATATTGTTTATATGATCCTATGATCCAAAGGATTAATAAAAATCATTTTAAAAATCTATGTAAAAAGCTACACTATATCTTGAAATATGTGGTGAGCACAGTGGGAGATGTATCAATGTCCTAACTATTAGCAATGAAGCAGTTAATATCCACCTCAACATTGTGTCCATGAGGGTAAAGAGTACGTAATTCATAGACCCAACGGGTCTCTGCCTGTGAAACCGTTCTGGTCTTATGAAGTCCCCTCCAATGCGGGATATCACCTCTAGACCCATAAATTTTAAAGAGGTAGGGTCGCTATTATGGAAAAGCCTAAAGTGGTTTGATAACGAGTGGTCCTTATAGCCTTTTCTAATGTTCGCTACATGCTCACGCAGGCGGTCCCGTAGGCGTCTGGTTGTCCGTCCTACATACTGTTTATTACAGGGACAGCTGAGAAGGTAGACCACAAATTTGCTATTACATGTTATGCATTGTTTAATGTCATAGGACTTCCCGGTTGATGTTGAAACAAAGGTGTCAATTTTCCTTTTACGAGTATTATCACACCTACATATAATACACTTATTGCATGGGTAGTAGAGAGATCTGTGTTTATGAACGTAGATTTCTCTCCTGTTATTCTCTCTGCCGATTGGCGGGTCCCGGCCTCTAAAGGAGCCAGTGAGAGCCCAGCCGGGTGGGCAGACACAGGCGCCCCCTACTCGGAAATTAACAAGTGTGTGTGTGTGTGTGTGTGTGTGTGTGTGTGTGTGTGTGTGTGTGTGTGATTCTCCACAGTAGTAAAACTTCAGTGCACAGTTGGCAAGCAGTTAAACAAAAACTGATTCAAAATTCCCGTGAAACTATGTCTTCATGTGCAGTGCAGTGATGTTGCGTACATTGATGTTGAAATATTTATGAAGTCACAATTGCTGCGTATGCATGCAGGGCTGTACAATCATTGGGCTGCAGGAGAGATGAGTGAATACCCAAGTACCTAGGAAGTGTGGTAATATCACAAAGTGTTTCCATTTTAGGGTTCTAGGAAATTCAAAAGTTAGGTGTAGCACTCAGCTTTCCATGGTAGTCCCCTACATGTTCTCTCAGCACACTGCAGTATCCACACCACCATCTGAATGCATTTTAATATTTTTCATCTTTTAACCATTTTTTTTTCTAAACAATATATTTATTCTTTCTTTATGTTGGCTTATCATTGTAGATGGAAAAGTTACCAACCCTCCTATGCTGGAGCCTACAGACCCTGCTCTCCCACTGCAAAATGTTACAGCTCACGAGCATCCTCCTACACTGCAACCCATTACCCAGAGTCCTGTCTACAAACAAAGGAAGAACATGTCTCATGTGAAAATTCGAGGCTCTCCTGTGCAGAATATGAGAAGGGCAGCTGTTACTACTGTGCATAAATCCTGGAAGAAGAAAAAGACTGCCACTGAAATCAGCCATCAGTCTTTAAGCGGAAATGAAAGTGATGAAGAAAGAACTACAGAATATCCAGCTCTTGGTATCATGTTTTAGAATTTTATCTAATTTCCTTTTTCTGTGCTGTAGCTAGAGAACTTAAATCTTCAAGATCAGCTTAACATTTTGAAATTGCTTTTAATTCTCTTAGGGCTCGTTTACGCTCGCTTCAACTTCAACAGGCCTTAAAGTGCCTACCGATTCAACATGCTTTTTTGATGTGTCGAGGATGCTTCGGTGGTGCTGTTTTGAAGCTTTAATGAAGCTTGGCAGATGCCCTGTGTGTTGATATCTCATACCTGCAATATCTCTAAAACAAAGCGAAGCTAAAGCTGAATAAAGGCCTCTCAACAGCTGCAGGGTTCTGTAAGCAAGCTTTGTCATAGACTTCAGTGGAGGCTTGGAAGACTCTTTGAAGCACCACTAAAGCAACATGGGGTATAATTTTTTAAGCAAAACAAACGCAACATGTAAACAGGACTGTAAGCTGACCATTTTATTTAGTGACAAGTGCTTGGATTGGCATACAGAGTGCTTTAAAAAAGCATGTCCAATGCCATGTTTTGAAGCTAGTGTAAACAAGCCTTTACAGAATCTTGTTGGGCTTTAGCATACAAACAGGAGATATCAAGTTTTTTCTTCTTTCCAGACTGTCCCAGCTATAATCCTTTCTTGATTTCTCTTCCCTGCTGTACAGATATTTGAAATGGTACAGGTTAAGCTATGGCTTAATTTGGAAGACAATCGTCTTCCAACCCTCCTGTTTTACTATTCACTGTTGAAAACTAGCAACGATAGTGCTGATTATATACTGTACTTGCCTATAAGCAGCTCCATCTCTCTTCATTTTCACAATTCTTAATAGTTGCTTCCCACTTACAGCAATGGCAAGGGACTGGATTTGCGTGAGGCAGAGGAAACCAAATATCTTTTTAAAAAAAAATATCTTAATTTACAGCTTGTGCCCAATACCAATACCATTTTTACACTACCTTTTTATTATGCATTAAAAATGCAAAATATGTTTTCGTTTCTGTTCATACTTTTACAGAAGTTGCCAATGGGTTTAGAACACATACTGGAAGTGGCTTAGATTCCGACAGCAGCTCTGAGTTATATAGAGAATCAACTTTATATTCCAATGGGTAGGTGATACCCCTTTGTTTCTCCGCTTGCAATACTGTGTACAGGACCGCATAATAATTCCTCTTTCGAACTTTATAGGAAAATGACTCCTCTAGGAAAACCTTCTCTCTCACATCTGCCCCTGCTTGGAGCTATGAATGGTGATTATGCCAGTCGCGGTGAGGATATTCTGCTTTTTTGTGCAGTTTATTGTAAGGTCTACCTTTTATTTAATTGTATTAATTGTAATTCTGTTTGTCTGTTGCCTTGGTAGAATTTGGAAATGATATTGATGTTGATCAAGGTATTAGAAAAACATTCGTTACCTGAGAACAGAGGCTGGATTACATAATTGTGAGGGAAAAAAAGAATATAATATCGAAATCTAGTTTCAACACCAGGCTTCTCCCCCATTTTTCCCTCTAGCTTTTTCTCTGTCGCCTTCTATTCCTGTAGTAGTCACTGAATCGGACTCCCTTCTGGGGATGCCTTAGAGCCATACCTATGCTTGTCCCAGCCAGATTTACAGTAATGTTGTGGGAGAAAGGATTAAAGCTGAACTCGTTTAAATGAAAAAAAATGACCCTTGCAATGTTTCTCTTTGTCACTCCCTCAATCACAGGGACTCCAGTGTTATATAAAATGCACGACTAACAGTGCTGCATTGTACGTGAGGTCGGTAAGAGCCTTCCCAGATACTTAAGTGGAGGAGGGCTATCCATTCATTTACCCCTAGGCAAAGCAGGAATTTATATTTATTCGATTTTAACAAATCACCGGCAGCACATCAACAGCTCTTTCAAAATACACTTTCATTTTTTTCTCTGTACCTTCCTGTATTGCAGCATTTTGTATGTTGCAAACTGATAATTTTACCATAAAGTTCAACTGAAGGAATCCAGTTAACATGTAGTAAAGGAATAAGGTAAACAAAAAACGTTTTGTCTTACCTGACTGAGCCAAATCCTCCTTCATTTTGTGCTTCGTGCACTTTCCCTCCCAGATACTGCAACTCACAATGGGAGGATTTACAGTGCCTTGAAAAAGAATTCATACCCCTTGAAATTTTCCACATTTTGGCATGTTAAACCAAAAACGTAAGTGTTTTTTATTTGGATTTTGTGATAGACCAACACAAAGTGGCACATAATTGTGAAGTGGAAGGAAAATGATAAATGGTTTTAAAACCTTTTTAAAAAATCAACATCTGAAAAGTGTGGCTTACATTTGTATTCAGCCCCCTTTGCTCTGATACCCCTAACTAAAATCTAGTGGAACCAATTACCTTCTGAAGTCACCTAATTAGTAAATAGAGTCCACCTGGGTGTAATTTAATCTCAGTATAAATACAGCTGTTCTGTGAAGCCCTCAGTGGTTTGAACATTAGTGAACAAACAGCATCATGAAGTCCAAGGTACACACCAGACAGGTCAGGGATAAAGTTGTGGAGAAGTTTATAGCAGGGTTAGGTTATAAAAAAAACAACTATTAGTCGTCGTGCACTCCACAAATCTAACCTTTATGGAAGAGTGGCAAAAAGAAAGCCATTGTTGAAAGAAAGCCATAAGTCCCGTTTGCAGTTTGCAAGAAGCCATGTGGGGGACACAGCAAATATGTGGAAGAAAGTGCTCTGGGTAGATGAGACCACAATGGAACTTTTTGGCCTAAAAGCAAAATGCTATGTGTGGCGGAAAACTAACACTGCACATCACCCTGGACACACCATCCTCACTGTGAAACGTGTTGAGGGGATGCTTTTCTTCAGCAGGGACTGGGAAGCTGGTCAGAGTTGATGGGAAGACGGATGGAGCCAAATTCAGGGCAATCTTAGAAGAAAACCTGTTCGAGTCTGCAAAAGACTGGAGACTGGGGTGGAGGTTTACCTTCCAGAAGGACAACAACCCCTAAACATACAGCCATAGCTACAATGGAATGGTTTAAATCAAAGCATATTCATGTGTTCGAATAGCCCAGTCAAAGTCCAGACCTAAATCCAATTGAGAATCTGTTGCATGACTTGGAAATTGCTGTTTGCAGATGCTCTCCATCCAGTCTGTCAGAACTTGAGCTATTTTGCAAAGAAGAATGGGCAAAAATTTCACTCTCTAGATGTGCAAAGCTTGTAGAGACATAGTCAAAAGACTTACAGCTGTAATTGCAGCAAAAGGTGATTCTACAAAGTATTGATTCATGGGGACTGAATAGAAATGCATGCCACACTTTTCAGATATTTATTTGTAAAACCGTATGAAAACCATTTATCATTTTCTTTTCACTTCACAATTATGTGCCACTTTGTGTTGGTGTATTACATAACATATACGTTTTTGGTTGTAGCATATCAAAATGTGGAAAATTTCAAAGGGGGTATGAATACTTTTAAGGCACTGTAGCAGCAAAGGCAGTGCTTTTTTTTATAGGAAGCAGTCGGCAGGACTAGGTGTAGCCAGGTGCTGATTTACAAGCTTGTGAATCAACCGTGACAATGCTGATCATCACACCCCCTTCAATATCTTCTCATCCCACTGTAATACAAGCAGGCAAAACCTACAAGAGTGGCATCAGTGCTCTGAATTCAGCAGTGTAGCATCATTTCCACATCATCACAGGAAGCTACATTAGGTGGGCTTCGCTGGCAGAATCTACAGGCATACATATGTGCTTGTAATTAAATGCAGCAGCAGGTGCATCTCAAATTAGAATGTCATCAAAAAGTTAATTTATTTCAGTAATTCAATTCAAAAAGTGAAACGCATATATTATATAGATACATTACACATAGAGTGATATAATGAAAGCATTTTTTCTTTAACTGTGATGATTATGGCTTACAACTAGTAAAAATCCAAAATTCAGTAACTCAGAAAATTAGAATATTGTAAAAAAAAAAAAAAAAAAGTTCAATATTGTAGACTCAAGGTGTCACACACTAATCAGCTAATTAACTCAAAACACCTGTAAAGGTTTCCTGAGCCTTTAAATTGTCTCTGTCTGATTCAGTACTTTAAACAATCATGGGGAAGACTTGACAGTTGTCCAGAAGACAAGTCATTGACAACCCTGCACAAGGAGGGTAAGTCACAAAAGCTCATTGCTAAAGAAGCTGGCTGTTCACATAGTGCTGTATCCAAGCATATTAATGGAAAGTGGAGTGGAAGAAAAAAGTGCACACAAAACAGGGATAAACGCAGGCTTGAGAGAATTGTGAAGCAAAGGTCATTCAAGAATTTGGAGGAGATTCACAAGGAGTGGAAAGCAGCTGGTGTCAGTGCTTCAAGAGCCACCACATACAGACGCATTCCTTGTGTCAAGCCACTCCTGAACCAGAGACAACGTCAGAAGCGTCTTACCTGGGCTAAGGAGAAAAAGGTCTGAACTGTTACTCAGTGGTCCAAAGTCCTCTTTTCCGATGAAAGTAAATTTTTGCATTTCTTTTGGAAATCAAGGTCCCAGAGTCTGGAAGAAGAGTGCAGAGGCACTGGGTCCAGTGTGAAGTTTCCACAGTCAGTGATGATTTGGGGAGCCATGTCATCTGGTGTTGGTCCACTGTGTTTTATCAAGTCCAAAGTCAGCATAGCCCTCTACCAGGAAATTCTAGAGCACTTCATGCTTCCCTCTTCTGACCAACTTTATGGAGATGCTGATTTAATTTTCCAGCAGGACTTGGCACCTGCCCACGCTGCCAAAAGTACCTATATCTTGTTTAATGATCATGGTATCACTGTGCTTGATTGGCCAGCAAACTTGCCTGACCTAAAACCCATAGAGAATCTGTGGGGAATTGTCAAGAGGAAGATGAGACACTAGGCACAACAATGCAGATGAGCTGAAGGCCGCTATCATAGCAACCTGGGCTTCCATAACACCTCAGCAGTACCACAGGCTGATCGCCTCCATGCCATGCCACATTGATGCATTAAACCATGCGAATGGAACCCCAAACAAGTACTCAGTGCATACTATACTGTACATTGACATAGTTTTCAGTAAACCAACATTTTTGTATTAAAATCCTTCTTTTTTTTCTTCTAATTTTTTTTTTTTTTTTATTGGTCTACTGTAATATTCTAATTTTCTGATATACTGAATTTAGTTTTTTCACTAGTTGTAAGCCATATACATCAAAGTTAATAGAAAATAATGCTTGAAATATATCACTCTGTGTTTAATGAATCTATATAATATATGTGTTTTCACTTTTTTCATTGAATTACTGAAATGTACTTTTTGATGTTCTAATTTATTGAGATGCACCTGTGTTTTTTATTAGAAGGCCATAGTTAAAGCAAACAATATCCAACCCAGTATTTCAATAGTTTGTCCCTTTCTCTTTTTTTTTTTTTTTCCCCACAGATTTTGTTGAGAGAGATTTTTAATGTGGTACAAATATGGAGGCTGTAGGGAGCACAAGTGTTGGAGCATTGATATTTAATGGGGTGGTACTAGCAGTGATTATAGTAGTCTCGTGATCTTTCTCCAGTCTATGACTGTTTCCTGAAGCACATCCCCAGTCTGACCATCTCCAGTAGCGTGTGCAGCCTCGGACCATCTCTTGCAGCATGCCTGTAGTTCCTGACCATCTCTTTTAGCATGCCCATTGTTTATAATACATTAACTGAACATTATATGAGATATAATGGGTGATGTTAGGTGCTGTAGAGGAGGACCACAATTTTTAGTTGACTTGTTCTAGAGTAACGGTGACTTTAAATATTAAGAGACACAGTTTTTTTACACTATTTAAGATGATTGGGTCCTGTGAGATAATAGCACGTGCTCGAGTGTTCTCATTATCAACCGTAAAATATTGCCATGACCAGAGCCCAAACTTGCCCCCTGTGCACAGCTTTCACATGCAAGCAAGATTCATAGCAGGTCCCTGTGCTCCAAGACGCAAAGAAAGCTGTGTGAACGTATTCTCACCACTTATTCTGAGGGAGACATTTTGCTCATTTATAGGTTGCTCCGCAAGTGAAATCTTTACTATATAACCTTTCTCTTAGCACATATATTCTGCATCTGTCCCTGCAGAAAGCCTCTTGATGTCGTTTGATAGTTCCGTAGAGCTGAAGCCTCTCCAGTTAGTATGGGCTAAATGTCGTGGATACCCTTCCTACCCTGCCTTGGTATGTCACAAACTTCACTTTCAACGTCACTTTAAGGATATGATAGCTGTTGGAACAATGTTATTTGCCTAGGATTTAATCCCTGTGTTCTATTATATAGATCATTGATCCAGATATGCCAAGGGAGGGTTTACTGCACAATGGCATACCTATTCCTGTTCCACCTTTGGAAGTTCTTAAGCTTGGAGAGCAGCGACTACTTGAGAGTGTTGGACAACAACTTTTCCTAGTTTTGTTTTTTGACAACAAAAGAACGTGGTGAGCAATGTGGTCTTTTATTTCTGTTATAATATCTTGCATACTCTTGGGGCTTGTTCACACCAAAAGTGCAATGCAGCATATTTGTGTTTGAGCATTGTTGTTTCATTAATTTTGAATGGCACCAAATGTACCTCTGCAACACACCTTTAATGCACTGTAGTGCATTACATAACACATTGTGCTTTGTGGTGCACTGCAAGAAAAAGTGTAGCATATACAAAATGTTCTTGTTCAATTATTGATCTGTATATATTAGTCTAGTCCAGCACTGGGAGCTGTGTGGGTCTCCCGAAAAGACTGAGCAATTTCTTTGTTTTATTTATATATATAATATATATCAAATATAACTGTCCAAAAGGGTGCAGTTCTTGGGCATGTCTAACAAAGATGGAGTAGTGTACCCGGGTGTGTTTGACACCTCCAGCAATTATTTGACTTTTGGGGAAATATTCTGTGCTACTAGCTGTGGACATTTTTTGTGTCCACATAAATGCTTTTGTGATGTGTGGAATTGAACTCCCCAATTCCCTTTCTCACTCAGCTACATAATATTGCACTTTTGGGGTTGAGGACCGCAATAAACCATAGATGGCTGAAATTGGGTAGGACACAGCATGCGTCCCTAAACATAACTTTTCAAAAGGTGTAAAAGGTCTATGTATTGGGCCTTTCTTTAATATGTTCTTATAGAAATTCCTAAGCTGGAAATATGCCAGCCAATTTACTTGCTTTATTTTTTTCTCGGAGAGGACAATAAATATCGGTGATATTAAATAAGAAGTCCACCTAAACAATCCTTGTCTAAACTGTCCTGCTGAAAAATCTGGATTACCCAAAATTAGGGTCAGAGGACCTTCATAAATCGAGATGGCTTTATTTTTAATTAAATGATCCAAAGTTTTAGGAGGTGGGGGTAATAAAAAGGGTAAATTAGTTTTTGTTGGTTGTTTTTTAGGGGATATCCATGGCAAAGACAGAGGAGGGAGTAGGGATATATGGGTTTCTATCTGGGCCCATTGTTTATCCTTGAATCAATATATACTATCTATGAGTCTATCCATAATAACTGCTTTATGGTAAAGTGCAAAATATGGTAGCCCCAACCCTTGTTTCTTTCTTATAAGCATGTAATATTTTAATCTTGGTTTGGAGCTAGCCCAAACATATTTTAAAAGTGTGGAATGCACTATTTGGAAGAACTTTGCAGAGGACTTATTGGTAAAGTCTGAAATATATATAAAAATCTTTGAAGGATATCCATTTTGAACAGTGCCACTCTACCAAACCTGTAGTCTCGACCCACTGCATTCATTTCTGGGGCATTAAAGTGATTAGTGGCTGGTGAATCCCCCTCTCTCTTAGTCAAGTAAGCAGCCAGGAATTTCAGTGCCCTCTCTTGCCAATTAAATGTCAAGTCTTTCTTTAAGACATTCACCTCCCCTTCCATTAGGGTTGCATCCACTGCCTCTGTTTTATGTATATTCACCCTAAAATTACTGACCTTAGAGAAAGCATGAAATTATATTAACAGTGCTGGAAAGGCTACACGAAGGTTTGAGACAAATAACGAGATCATTAGCAAAGAGGCACATTTTGCATTCCTTTGTACCAATCTCAATAATTTGTATCGAGGAGTTCTTTCTAAAGGCATTGGCTAGATGCTCTATTGCCAAACTGTATTGGATAGGTTAAAAGAGGGCATCCCTGCCTTGTACAATTTCTTATGACTATTTGGTTTGATAACAACCCATTAATTCTTACCCTAGCCATCGGGGTCTAGTATAGCGCTAGTATTTTTGTTAAGAAACTTGATGTTATGAGACAAAGTTTCTGTCAAAAAGGGCCAACCTATGTGGTCGAACCCTTTTTCTGCAACAGGAGGCAAAGAGAATTTTTTTTTTTCTCTTCGCATGATGCATTGAGGTCAGAGCCTTAATTGTGTTGTCCTTAGTTTCTCTTGAAGGGACAAACACCACTTGATCTAGGTGTATAAGTGATGGGAATAAAGGTTTTAAACACTCTGCGATTACCTTAGAATACATCTTTGGCTATATTCATGAGAGAGATTGGACGGTAACTAGAGTACAGAGAGGGATCTTTCCATTCTTTGGGTATTATCGTTATATGGGCTTCCTGAGATTGTCTAGTGAATGGACTTGAATCTGATGCTGCACTAAAAGTACGTAACAAAGTTGGGGAGAGCTGATCTTGTAGTGTCTTCTAAAAAAGCCCTGTAAATGTATTTGAACCAGGTCTTTTTCCTTAAGGCAATTTAATAACTTCCTTTACTTCAGCTAATCTAAATGGAATTACTAATGACTCTATCTTTCTCCAAGATTGTTGGAAGCCCCATTGTTTCATTGTATTCTTTTATTTTTCTTAAGGAATAGTTAGATGAACCTTTTGAATCTACAGATGCTAAATTATATAACCTGGTATATGCCTTGGCTATTTTTTCTGTTGTAAATACAGTCCCTTGAGATGGACATACTATCTTTTGAATGTATGTACGGGACAGTTTTTACGTATTGATCTTGTTAACCGATTCCCCACATTCTTGTCAAATTAGTAAAAGTTTTGCTTTACTAATTCTCATAGCGCATATAAAATGTATCCAAAAGAGAATCTAATTGTGCACTTTTCTTTGTTAATATCTGATATGCTATGCCATCTGTATTTGTCATATGATATTGTTCTAAATCAAATATGTAATTCAAAAACATAGATATTTCATTCACTATTTTCTTCTTCAGTTTTGATCCTAATTGAATTAGTTTACGCCGTAGGACGCATTTTAAAGTTTCCCATTTAATTGGCAGTTGAGTGGGATCTGTCAGATGGGTTATCTCAAATTCATCCCTTAGGGCTGTTAACACTCTCTCCTCTGTGAATAGAGTTTCAGTCATCTTCCTAGTTTTCAAAGTTTGTGGTATACAGAAAGTCAAGAAGAGTGGATAATAGTCTGATCTAAACTTCATTCCTATTTGTGATACAGGTTGCCAATTCAATAATGGATGGGAAATGTAAAAAAAAAAAAGAAAAATTATATCCTACTATATGATGAATGCGGCACTGAAAAAAAAAAAAGTAAAATCCTTCTTAGTGTGGTGCAGTATGCACCAGACATCCACTAGATGGAGGGAGTGTAATTGCTTACGTATAACATGTAATCGTAGATACGGGTGTAGCAAACTTGCGCATCGGAGTTGGATGCCGATTCCCCCTTTTATTAAAAGTATTTATTTATCCCTTATTCTCCTTCCCCCCCTCCCTTCCTGAGAGGCACAGTGACAGATGTGTGTGTGTGCTGGTTATGGGTCAACAGCAGGCCAAGGCATCCCTAGTTCGATGCCGAGCAGTCTGCGAAAGTGTAGCCTTCCTCACCTAGGCCAGGATAAGGCCAATGTTCCCAAGAGAGACAGAGCCGCTCTGCCTAAGAACCTGTGTAATTTCTCACCTCGTAACAGAGATAAGGCAGCTTTTCCCAGGAATTGAAAGAGATTTTAACCTCATAAAACCTAGCAGACACTACTGTGTTTGTTTAATCCTCTGCCCAATCGGCCTGCGGTGACCATATTGGGCAGACAACTTTTCAACCATTATAGTGTATATTTGATAAAGAGAGTTTCCTCTTTCTCTGTACAAAAAAGGGGTGGTGGCAGTGTGTGAGGGTCAGTTGCGTAATTAACTTGACCCAGTAACAAGTGCATCCAGGCTGCAGGCACAGATAGAAATCCATTAGCTGGAAAATCGCTGTGTAAGGTGCAGCTGGGTGTGGCATTGTTACGCACGTCACATCGTGGTCTGGATCGGCTAGTCCTTCGGTCACGAGTCCGAGCAGATCAGAACTCGGGGGAACTTGAACCTGAAGGGGTTCCCGCTACCCACATTTCCAGTGGCTCAGAGACGGCCTCGCAGGATGGGCATACAGAGACTGACACTGGAAGGTCACCAAATGTTATCGTCACACCACCGCCTGAGCAGGCCAGCACCGGAGTGCCTGTAACCAGCAGAGATTCTCCTCAGATGCAGGAAACCCTGAAACGCCTCATGGAGACAGATCTGGAGGCATACCTGCGGTTCCTTGAGCGCCAGGCTGGCAGAGAAATTGCGGAACTCCAAACAGCTGCTGACAGAGAGGAACGCCAGGCTGAGAGGGAAGCTGTTCATTGGCACAAGCTGGAGATGGCAAGGCTCCAGCAGCGACCGGGTCAGAATCTCGGGTCCCTAGATCACAGGGACGCCCCTCTTTCTCTGGGCGCAGCCAAGTTTCCAGTGATGGAAAAGGAGAGTGACATTGACACGTACTTATTGTCGTTTGAAAAAACGTGCCGTCAGTACCATGTGCCGCCAACTCAATGGGCTCGGTACCTGACACCAGGGCTACGAGGCAAGGCCCTGGATGCGTTTGTTGAAATGCCAGAGGGGCAGGATGACGATTATGAAGCTCTCAAAGATGCCATCATCTGGAAGTACCAGATGACCCTGGAAGTGAACCGCAAGCGGTTCAGGTCCATGCAGAAGGGACCTGGGGACTCTTACACGGATGTGGCGAGTCGCTTACACACCACATTCCGACAGTGGACTAAGGGACTGAAAGCTATGAGTCTTTGGAAGATCTCATGATACGAGATCAGCTTTTGCACATTTGCCCGACAGACGTCAGACAGTTTGTCTTGGAGAGGGAGCCAGCATCTACTAAAGCTGCAGCAGATCTGGCAGATACCTTCGTCCACACGCGGGTGTCTGATCCTCGCAAGGCTCCTCCGAACGGCTGGAAAGGGGGGAAATCACCCCTAGCAACCTCCCCTACGCCGGTGAGTCAAGCTCCCCATCCACCCACACCTGCAGCTCCTGGGGCCAAGCCATTCCTGCCTGACAACCGCAGATGTTTCGCCTGTGGGAAAAGCAGACATCTCAGGACGCAGTGTCCTGAGCAGAAGCAGACTACATCATCTGGCCAGCCGGCCAGCAACTCTTCTTCTGTGCTGTTCGTT